TTGTCTTTTGAAGTGTTAATAATAGGATCTAGATTTGATACTAAGAAGTGTTATTTATTACATTTTAAAGGGTCTTATATTAAAAGGGGCTTCAAGTTTTTTGTACTTTGCCATTAAAATGTGATATAAAATAATTGGTGGAACTTTAGGGGAACTGCTGCTATAATGAAAATCGATTGTTTTGTCAATAACATAAAAACTTTCAAACTTTTAAATAAAACACTTTAACGGTTTAAAAAGCGATATCTTAGTTAAACTTATTTGAAAATGATTTTTAACTTCGGGCCGACGTTTCGGATGCTTTGCAGCAGCCGTGGTCACGGCGAGACTAATATATTGCGTTTTAAACCGTTACAGGATTTTATTTAAATGTACTACTCGCGTAAACTATTTAATTTTCAGACTATTTGTATTTTTCTGTGAGTGTGATAATTACATAACATTTCCATTACTGTAAGAAGCGTATTAACCATTTCCTAACAATAACGTCAAATATGTTGTGTATTTGTCAAACATTCACACAGCCGAAAGAAATTGTTGCGAATCGAAGCGCCTAAATATATAGATTATGATTGTCTCAGATTCTGCGGATTAGATGTACCTGTCTGCGAATTGGTAAAGAATGGCCATTAAATGGTATGTAATCGTGAGCAGGTTCTGGCGGACAGGATCGTGTTGCGTAGCGTGAGGAAACTGCGCTAACTCGGTCGAGCGTAGCGACCTTCATTAATTAAACATACCTACTAATAATAATACTGTCTGTAGTTTACACGAGTAGTACACATTTAAATTAAATAACGGTTTAAAACGTGTGTGGCTCAAGTTTCGAATGCTTTGCAGCAATCGTGGTCACGGGGAGACTAAACATGGAGTATAAAACTGCTACGCTAGCGCCATCTGTGCCGTCGTTATTGGTATTTGAAACTTGCCAGGTCCTCGTCGAAACGATTAACGTCGGACCGTAGTACAATTAATTTTCAGAAGATTAACTTATATATTATATTGTGTTTTAAACCGTTGGTGTTTTATTTATATACCTACTCATTTCTTACACAGGTTGATTTAAAATTCGTTTAAGTGTAAGATCCCGTTTAGTTGGAATCGTTCGACTTGGAGCCTTGTTTCTCTGCCTAGCAAGTTGTCGGTTTTCTTTGCCCAGTCCGACCGAAACGATTCATTGTGCTTCCTAAAGATTAAAACGCAGTTTTTTAATGATAGAGGACGACAGAAATGCATGCATACTTGAGGGTAGGCAAAATATCCCAGCAATTTAACGTCTTAACTAATGTGTAGACACCTATTTTGGCTTCGGATTTGGAAACCACAGACTAAAACCTAAATTAATAATCAAATTTCCACGAAGTCCTATATGTTTCAGAAAAATTATAAAGTGTTTCGAAAAATGTTGAACCCGGTGAGGATCGAATCCACGATCCATTGATTATTCCATTACTCCTACCATTACTCCAGAGAGCCCGTCATACACCTACCTAGCTTAATGCATTGAAATGTTACCGTTAGATCTCACTGGTATTTTATGAAGAACAAAGAATAAAATAGTAACATATCTACAATAATTAATTTGCGGAATGTGCCCTAGGACTTCAACATTATTACCTTGTTAGTGAATAACATAGCAACTAAGGCTGCGGTCTCCTAAAATGAGATAACCTGTCTATTAACCAATAGGATCTAAAACTAATCTACATATACAGCTGTACAGGGCGCTACGCGTTATTTATATAAGACCGCAGCCGCACCGTATAAATAATACAAATTTTTATTACTCTATTAAAACACAAACAAGTCATAGAATGTAAAAACAATATTTATATAAAATAAATATTGTTTTCTGCAGAATGTTGAGTATTACTGGCATGTTTTACTGATAAGTTTTCAAGGGGCCGTGGATGGTCATTTATGTTATTTTTATTTGAGTACCAAAAGAAAACCTATCTTTAAGATTAATTAATTCGTCCGTCTGTGTGTAGAGAATTCAAAATTTTCCTCTTTTAATTGTAATATTAAAGGCGGTCTTCTATACAACAAAGTTATTTTCCAATTAAGTTAACCAATAAATTCATTGAACGCGTTTCATGTAAAGGGTTACTACTCGCGTTAATTACTGAAAACGCTATGATTTTTGCTCTATATCGATAATGGCAACATAAATAACTGAAAAGGGTTTTGATGTGAAATTTTAATACCTCGTCCTAGATACTGAATCTTCTATATCGAATTCGATTCACAATTGTCCGACTGTTTCTTTTCACTCTGTACTATAATTTAAAAACGCATTGTAAATTTCGTGTAACACCTTGGCCCCTACAGAAATGACATGGTAAAATACATACCAAGTTGGTAAAATAATAAATCATCGGTCAAGATTTTTCCACACAACCAACTGTTTGTAATAAAGGCGAAGGATGAAATCAATATCTCTATTGATGCAAAACTTGTTTACCTACAAACTTCCGTATTAGAATTCCCCGTATTTATAGAACCTAATAAAATTCTATTTTACTTGATATTTTCCGAACCACTTCGTTTATGCTTCTAAGAATATATTGACGCTTTTAAATGGCAATAATGTTGTCATTACAGTGTTAATATTAAGGCCTTATTTTGACATTGAATCTAATACTTCTTAACACCTAATGAAGTAATATTTTATTCCATTTTAATAAAACACTTTAACGAAACGCGATATATTAGTTAAACTTGTTGAAAATTATTTGATGATTGATTTCGGCTGCAGCAAAGCATCCCAAACGTCGAGCCGAAGGTAAAAATCATTTTCAATAAGTTTAACTAATATATCGCGTTTTAAACCGTTAAAGTATTTTATTTTAATGTGTACTACTCTCGTAAACTATAGACAGTATTTTATTCCATGTCACAAATGTGTTTTAAGAACTTTCTATCTATTTTGTTTGCGAATAACTCTAGTAAAAGCCAGATAAAGTAGGTTTCAGAAGATATACCATACCAGTAAAGTTTCGCTAGCTTTATGACGTATTACTGTCATAAAAAGATAGCACCTGCACCGACGAAGGATTTATGTGTCTTAGGAATGTTTACCTTAACATCAGCAGGTACCATACGACAAATAGTTAAACTGTCTCCTTTTGTTATCCAATCAACTTTACGAAGACGCCATACCTGACGTTGATCGAAATTGAAGGGCTAAAATATTTATGGACAGAAAAGAATCGTTAATAAGTAAATTTCATATTTGTCATGTTTTTCCTAGGCTTAGGCCAAGGCACTGTTATTTTGTAGTTATTATTGATCTATAGAAAAGTTCCCATCCAGGTTATCTAGGATGAATTGTAGCAATAGGATATTGTTTCTGTTTTTGCATTGATATGTAGTCCAATAAAATTAGCCCTTAAAATAGAGGTAAACTTACTCACAAAGCTAAAAATTGCTATAAATGTGCAGAATACTATAATAAATGAACTGTGTAAAGTTCCTATCAGCAATTAAATCATCGTGAAAGTTAAATGTTAAGTAAAAATTAGATTTTTGAGTTTTACATATAACGTAGTACAGTACAATTTGACTGGATTAAGTGTATAAAAATGTTTGCAAGAGCACAACTATACAAACTATAGGAAGGGACTCTTTTCGTACTCCAAGAAATGTAGTATACAGGCATAGTATGGTAATAGGTATTGTACCTGATAAACCAATATACCTATCGACAGCTGTTTAAACGGGTTAAACATAACTTATAATTATTATTACCATTCACGTCGTAACTTAAACGTGGGCTTAAGTTAATTAATCCCTTTATTTATGCTACGGGTTTACACTTGACCTCAACAACTAAGATCTACAGGGAAAATAATAATATCACATGCTTAAGTTATGCCAATGTTAAATGTTACTGGGCTTGTCACTTTGCAATAATTTCTACTGGCGTTCTCGACATATATCTAAACGATAAAATATGATGGTTGACTAGATATCAATCTAGTTATGGTTATGGCGAAATATGTATTTTACATATTTTGCTTTATTAGCACATTATATTTTTACATAGCTGTACATTTATCAAATACACAAAGCAAACTCAGAAACCAAGAAATGATTTTATATAATTAGAGATTACTAACTACTTTTATCTACACAAAGAAGAAGTAAGTGAGGATCCGTTACTTATTGGTTTGAATTAGTAGTTAACACTTCGAAGTACTGATTATAAATGTAGGTATGTACCCAAGCCATAAAAAAATTAAGAGCCCACCTGTGGTTAAAAAACTGGAAAACCCAAAATATTAGCGAAATGTTCAAGGCTATATTATTATAGAGCTAAACGATTAAGAATAAAACAGTATTGAGACAAAAGAGGCTTCATAGCAATTGGTAGAGATGGCGCGACTATGATGCAACTTATATTCTAGGTTGGTGCTTTGGGTCTTATAGACCAAGCGAGCTGACCCTTAAGAATATAATTACTTTACAAAATCAGACTCGCTTTAAAAAGCGACCTGTAACCCCGATGTCCTGGACGGTTGCTTACCCGATATACCGGGTAAAGAGTACGCCAGACACTTTTCAGCCTTTAACAAGGATTATCAAATACTATATCTTGTTTAAAAAAATGCTTATAAGCTATCAAGAATCGTTGATAGCAGATAGCCGATCGGGCGGTTATAATAGTATTAACCGGTCAGCTTAGCGGACTTAAATCTTAGTCAGCACATCTCTGATATATTTAGTTACTTCAAATAATTAAAAAAAAAATCACCCTTTGATTTTATATTATCACCTTGTGAAATTTGTTTTTTGTATAGTCTGTGCTGGATGATTATACTATTTAAACTTTGACAGCTGAAAACTGTTATCTTTAAGACCGGGTAGTTTATTATGTCAATTGTCAATATCATGTGGAAGTAAAAGCGCATCGCACACGTGTTTTTAAAAATTAGAATGATAATAGAGTTCTAAAAAGGAATTAAACAAAAGAAAATGTTTACTGTGTTCTTCTAAATATGGTTTCGAAAACTTGTGATGATGAGCTGCCAGGATTTGAAGTTCCCGCAGCGGCGGAGGGCTCTCAAAAGGAGGTTGCGAATACCAAAAAGAAAAGTTCTGGAGGGTTTCAGTCCATGGGGTTTAGCTTTCCGGTTCTGAAAGGTATTACAAAGAGAGGCTACAAGCAACCGACTCCGATACAAAGAAAGGTACCTACATTATTAATATGCATTTTTGTATTTCTTCTTGGCTGAGCCGTATCATCTAACAATACAGTTCATATAAACAAACTTATGACATTCATCTACTTTCTTTAAGTTAACTGATAGAAGAGATTTTTAAAAGCAATAGCATTAAGAAACCCTTCTGGCAATATCAATTAAACAGATAGATTAAACTTTCCACATGATTAATTTTAAATTAAAACAGGGAATAATATCTTACAACTGTAAAAGTAGATTTGCATAAGATCTCTTATCACATGTGATGATCGTGATATACATGCTACAACCAGTGGTTTTAATTAATAACTAACTTTCTTTATCAATAGATTTTGGTAACTTTATTGTTGAATCTTTCAGACAATTCCAATAGCATTGGAAAGTAAAGATGTTGTAGCTATGGCTAGAACTGGTTCCGGTAAAACAGCTTGTTTTGTCTTACCTATACTGGAGAAGTTAATTTCACCAGCTCATAAGGCTTTGCCTGGCAAAAATTTGAGAGCGCTCATTTTATCACCAACTAGAGAATTGGCCTTACAAGTAAGATAATTTTATTCTGTTTACAAGCTAGAAACTATTTTACTTTTGGATTCAGAATCTTTATTAGATAATTTCGGTAGAAAAGACATACTCAGTTAAATAAATTATTGTTGGAAAACAAAAATAAATTTTTTTCTTGCTTTAATTTCCGTTCTGTGCATTTTCTACTATTAAGTTTTTTTTGTTTATTTACAACATTAAGATATTATAAAAATAAATACTTTCCTTCTAAGCATCAACACAAAAATAGTTTTTAAAATGTTCTGTTTATGATCCAGACTATAAGGTTTGTCCGAGAATTGGGAAAATTCACTGGCCTCACATCAGCAGCAATCCTTGGAGGGGAGTCTATAGAACAGCAATTTAGTGTCATGTCTGGAAATATACCTGATATAGTTGTGGCAACACCAGGACGTTTCCTGCATATTTGTATAGAAATGAGCTTAAAGCTAGATAATATAAGTAAGTTTAGCTTATTACTTTCAGTGTTCTGTAAAATTATTTTTATTTTATTATGAAATACGTTATAATATTTTATCTTGTAAAAAAATTAAATTCATAATCAATTATGATTTGTTTTAGGAGTGGTAGTGTTTGATGAGGCAGATAGACTTTTTGAGCTAGGATTTGGTGAGCAACTGCGTGAAATTGTCGCTAGACTACCATCCAGTCGACAGACTTTACTGTTCTCTGCAACATTGCCAAAAATGCTAGTGGAATTTGCCCGAGCTGGTCTAAGTGATCCTGTGCTGATAAGACTGGATGTAGATTGGAAGTTACCATCTACGTTGTGGTTGGGTTGGATTGTTGTGAGAGCCGAGTTGAAGACTGCAGCTTTGTTGCTCCTGCTAGACAAAGTTCTTACCACAAACACCCCTCAAGCAGTTGTTTTTGCTGCTACAAAGCATCATGTGGAATATTTGCATTTGGTAAGGTTTTATGTGCATCGTGATTGTATATAACACTTTGTAGGATGTTTCAATTATAAAGGAACAATTATGACATTGATTGTTTGACGACGAAATCATGTATTTAATTTCAGGTACTTCACCAAGCTGGTATATCATCCACTTACGCCTATTCTGGTTTGGACGCGTCGGCTCGTAAAATCGCTTTGGGAAAATTTACAAATAAGAAGTGTTCCGTATTGATAGTAACAGATGTTGCTGCTCGAGGTCTGGATCTGCCATCTTTGGATACAGTTATCAACTACAATTTTCCAGCTAAACCGAAGTTATTTGTACATAGAGTCGGTAAGGCAAGCAACTATCGTGAGATATTTAAATTTAATTACGTACATCGTAAAATATCTATTTTTCCATTTTAGTTTTTGTCTATCATACAATAGTATAATAATAGATACACACCTCTAACTTATGAGCTAAACAAATACTATCTTTTATTTCGAAACATTACTTATAACTATTACATGCATTAAAAAAACATACACATAAATACATTCAGTGTTTTTATAGGTAGAAGTGCCCGTGCTGGTAGATCCGGGCGAGCTTTCTCATTGGTGGCAGCAGAGGATGTCGCCCATTTACTCGACCTGCAACTCTTCCTCGGAGCTGAGCTGATAAATCCTTCGCAGGTAATAATGGTTTTATGCATATTGGAAACTGCAAGAAACATATTATGTAGTAGTTTTAGTATTAGTTATATTAGTAGTGAAGTAAGTTTCCCCCCCATAGGGAATGGGACCAGCACATTTTCTATGTTTGTTTCACTGATCGCTTTTACAGGCAACAAACTAATCAGACTACTAAGTTCTAACTGAAAAAATTATTATGTTTCTGGTACCTAACCCGTGCCTAATGCTACTGAGCAAAATGGTTAATCATTGAGCTAAAATCTATTTATTACTCCATACTCTTTGATATTATTTTAACTTTATCACTGTGTATGTTTCAGGTGAAAGAGAGTGGTGCAGCATGTCCCAGTGGCGTTTGGGGTTCAATGTCCACTAGTGCATTGGAGCTACGACACCAAGATGTGATGGCATGGGAAAAGAATCACTCAGAAATCGTAGGTGTCCTTGTTCTCTTATCTATACGCAATATCCTTCTACAAATAGTAGAATACTAAAGGGTACTAATTCTCTTCATATTTCAGGAAGACGCGGCCCGTGTATGCGGCCGTGGTTGGCAGCAATATGTGAAATGGAGAGAACCAGCATCAGCCGATGCGAACAAACGAGCGAAACTCGTCAACCTGCCGACTCTGGTTCATCCCTTCTTATTGGATGAGGGACAGGAAGCAGTTGTCGAGCTAGTTGATAAGATCAAGAACTTTAGACCTAAGGGTGTAAGTATTCATTAATATTGTTCTATGCATTCATTGTATAATTTGTGGCAAATAAAATGCAGCTAACTTTCTAGAGAATGCGATTACAATAACAAAAATATTATCTTAGTTTACTATTTGCAAATGTACTCTCGCCTTAAGGAAAGTGTCCTAGAGCTAAAATTTGATATATGTCATCTGTCAGCACGCTATTTTTTCAACATGGTATATCATTATAGGTGGCAAAGATGTAATAATTTCAAATATTATATATATTTCAGACAATACTGGAGTTGACTGGTAGAAATGATTCACCGATGTACCTGGCTATGAAGGCGAAGAGACGTGTTCATGGCAGGACGGTCCAGAAGACTAGGGATAACAAAGATGGATTCGTAAGTTTATATTTTGTATATTTGTGAAAAGTGTACATTTTAAGTGCCATGTACCTTTTTATTTATACTGCTATTTTCTATAAATATGGCCATACATTACATACATACATATTAAGTAATATGTGTTGAAGGAAATAAAACAGCTTTTTATTGATTTAATTCTTTATTTTCAGGGTGACAACACTGAAATAAACTCGCTTACCACGCCAAATGTTCCCGTAAAAGGAAAAAAGAAAAAAGAGGTAGTTCGAGACGAGAACTATATACCACACTTTGCTAGCGATCAGCACACGGAGAGCGGGTGAGTCTCTTATATTTTGGTCTATTCCTATATCAGTTAGTCAAGAATACCTAACGTGTAGTAGTCTTCGTCTTCCCTATTATCCATTTCATGTCATCTGTCAGTTGAGGTCCCCTACTAATGACCGTTCCGAACTGTCATATGAGGTCCCTTACTAGTGACGCTCAAACATGTCAGTTGACTTCCCGTATCAATGACCGTTCCAACATATAGATAATGTGTATTGTGTGTGTTTTTACCATACGTCACTATGAGAACGTTTAGTAAATGATAGTATTTTTGGCACTCATATATTCTTTCATTCTTTTTACAGAATGTCTGTAAACTTCTCGATGGGCGCATCGCAAGCGGAGTTAGACATGGGCGCGGATTGTGGCGAAGCCGACAGAGCGAAAAGATCGCAGATGCGGTGGGACAGAAAGAGAAAGAAGATGGTGAACGTTGACCCCGTACGTATTGTATTGCTAAACACAGTATACCTAATATACCGCTTAATGATTGAATAGCTGTAATTTATTTAGAAGCTTAGTATATTTAACCCTTAGATGACTATCGGTTTTGATAATTTCATGTCAAAATAGCTGATCTAAAATAAAACACATTTTCAAATAAGATAATGATTTCATGGGATAAATGAGAAATATCATTTACTGTACGTGTCTGAATTTTTAATATCCAGATTCTTAATATAGATCTCTATCTATATTTAGCGCGAGTTTGAAGTCCCACCTATTAATATTATTAATAAGTTATGTTTTGTTTCAGGATGGCGGTCGTAAAATGATTCGTACAGAGAGCGGTGGGCGGGTGCCCGCGTCGTACCGAAGTGGAAAATACGACGAATGGAAACGAAGGAATAATGCCCACACGGATTACGATAACGAAGAAGATCAAGGACGCAAGCCTAATAAACAAGGTAAATGTTTGAGCATGAGTTGTTTTTACTGCATATATATAAATTACTAATAGCGCCTTCAAATGAAAAGAAAGATATAGAAAACTCTATTTTAGTAAAGTAAACTATTCCGAAATAGTTTTCCGCCATCATATATTTTGTATTGCAGACAAGCACCACTTAAATGAAAGGTGTAATAATACCCCAGCCATCTAAAAAAAGGTTCACTGTCGACCTGTTTTTGGTTTGAGTATTCGGAAATCCACAGATTAAATCCGAAACGCGGTTAAACTCGACGGCTCATTTCGACTGTTGATTATTAGCTGTAATGTGATTGTCTGTTACCCATGTCTAATTTTTAACATAATTCATTTCAGCATCAGAATTCCGTCCACGCTGGGTGAAGCACAACGAGAGAGTAGCGAAGAAAAATGCAGAAAAATCCTCGCACGAAATCAGGGACAAGCAGCAGATTGTCAAAGAGCGATTACGGAGGGAGAAAATCAAACAGAAACTCAAATATAAAATGCGCTCCAAGAAGAAAAAGAAGTGATCCCACTTCTGGGTTGTATAAATATACGATTTTCTATATTACTAATTGGATTATTAAACTATTAAAAGTCATGTTTTACTCTATCACAAAACTTGAACCGATTTGATAACCGGTTGCTCCATAAGATGAATTGATCTTTTTAGAAAATATTGCATTTACTGATATTGTGATTACATATTAATCGTACATTTTTAAAAAGTTCAAACAATGCAAATAATACCATTTAACTTTCATTTATGATTCAATTCTAAAGAAAGAATCTGTATGTATGTAGTTTGGTTTCCATAAGGAAACATACTTTTTAGGTAACCTTTGTATTCTAAGATTAGGAGTTAAAGCTAAAAATTATGTATGTATATAAAAATATTAACTGTACTGTAACTTTATAGTTCACTTATCAGATCAGTTCTGAAATTTAGGTCGCAGAACGAATACTGTTGGATACTTTTCAGGCATTATTAGTCAAATGTAAATATACATTTTAATTAAAATGCTGAAAGACTTAATGAGATGGAGCTAGAGTTGATCACAATGCACTGAATGGATCATAATTGACAAGATAGTTATGACGGTTTAACAGGTGAACAATAAAATAACTCAATTTTCACAGTATAATCATTATATTAAAAAAAAGATAAACATATTTAGTTATTTACCTACAATTATCTGTACACGTCGATAAATAACACGCAATAATCATTTTGAGGAGAAACATTTAATTTTGGACTGAATTATGGTTGAGAAAACATATTTACAATTTCATTAAAACTAGCGAACATACGATTACGATACATAGATATAGAAGATATAGGATAAAATATTGAAGGTACGTTAGATACTTATAAGCTACGCACCGCTCAGTCGACACACGGCAATACATTTCGCGCACGCAGTAAAAAAAATTGTTCCAAAATTATACTCATATTCTTATAAGCGTTTACACTGACATATTTTCTACATAAAACAGCCTTATAATAGTTGAACAACAATTTTCATACTTTGAAACCCCTTTTATGTATACAACTCCGCGTTCTTTCAATATTAGTGTTACAGCTTACTTCAATGGAATGTTTCGGATATGATGTTGTGTTCCACAAAGGCCCACATTCACCAAGGAACAATGACATTGATTAAGAGAGTTAACAACTGTTAATATTTATTAATTACTGCTTGGTCAACTTCTATGCTATGGTATTGATGTTTACTTGATTATAATGTGGGAGTAAAATCGAAAAATACACGAGATTGTCCTATTCATAAAGCTTAAGGTTTGGCAACAATCTTTCATTGCGGATTACTTGCAAGAATATTTATCTATTACTGATACAAAAACTCGCTTGTAAATAATATTAATAAATTTTCGTTACATTAAAACATTTGAGTAGAACAAAAGTATACTCAATTCTAACAAATGAATGTCTCGTTAATAGAGGTTTGGGCCATGTAATTTGGGTGTTCGGAAAGCAAATATTAATGCAAGATGTCTTTAAATTTACTTCTCAAATTTCATGACATTCAATAGTCAGAACTATGGGCGACTTGCTTCAACTATTTCGAATGCACACAATAACAAAAATGGCGCTGTTAATGTATATTTCAAAGAAGCGACATTGAAAGTAAGTTGCATTTACTGATTGACGTCATAACAGTTCGGTACAGTATGTCATTATGTACGACACACAGGTTACAGCAACCCACCAGAAATTACTTAGGGTTTACCCCAATTAGGACTCATTCACACTAAACGGTTTGCCGCAACATGGTACGGTAGTCGTGTAAGTCGCAATCTCGTCTAGTGCGTATGAGACCTTATTTTTTAGGTTATTTAGGAATCCAAACTAGCGTTTCTTTATATTCCCTATTAGTGTCTTGGACATGTCTATCTACCATCGTCTATACGATAATTTAATAAATAACATTATGTCTAACTAGATTACACGCTAGCTAGCTCAGAAAATCACGCATACATACAATTTACATTGTTAAAACTTAAACATATTCGGATGGTGAACTTAAATCTAAACCATTCCACGCCTGAAACAATCAGTCTTCTCATTGCGAAAATTATCATATTTTTTATATATTTACAATTTTCCGACTATTTTCATTTCATTACACAGAACATAAAATTTCAATTAGTCTACTTGTCTAGTTTTGTTCTAAACTAATTTGATGGAGGCATAGTAGGGTGATGAAATAAATTAATAATAAAGAAGGAATGGGGTTAGTTTTGAAATGGCATAAGAGTCAAAATTAAACATCTGTGATAAAATGAGTCGATTACAGATAAAAAATCTAAAGCGTCTTACTGTTGTTTTGTTGATATATTGTTAATCACATACATCGATTGAAAGAGAAAAATAATACAAATAATTGTATCGACAGTTTATAAACTGGCTAGATAGTAAGCAATGGTATTTGTATTCTGATACCACGTTACACAAAGTGGTAAGTACTGGTAGCAGATTCTACGAAAACTACAATGGACGGGTTTAACGAATGAGGTGCGTTGAGCAAACTACCCACGAGATGTCGTTAAGAATGTTCAATGTACGCGTATGGCACTTGTTGTTATAGAACGCAATCGTATAGTAAAACTATATTGTGAGTCGTGTGGAGATATTAAATTTATTTATTTAATGACGAACAGAAACTCGATAAAGAAACTTCTTATATTATTATATATATATATATATATATACATGTGATTTCTTATATTGCAAATTTATCTAGCGATTTTAACTTTTCATTAAAAGTGCCTTATGTTCTACATAATCAAATAAATCCTGGCTTAAAAGGTTTATCATAAATACAGTAATGATATCTTCAAGAATTTAAGTATAACAAAATCTATTTTATTTAAAAACAAGACCAGTTTAGGAAGAAAAAATCTCTCATGAAAGCTTGGTTTACCACTTCTGCTTTTATGCCTTTTGCATCCCATAAATCCTTCACATATTCCTTCAAGGGCATCGTCATATACTATACCAAGTTTTATCTTACTAAGCTTCCGCCTTTTCATGTCACTTGTATTTCCCTCTTTTTATACGACTTCCCCCCCTTGATTCAAAGACCTTGTCAATTCCAATATTACGTGGAGTATGTACAGCTAAAGTATGCCATTAGTGTAGTACTGGTAATTGTCGTACAATCGCGTGGATAGTGAATGTAGGGCGTCGCTAACTAGTCTGTCGACGAGTGACCTCAATTGTGGTTCGGTTCTACCCACGTGGAACCTCGATCGGAAGTTTGATACCGCGCTGCTGCTGCGTAGGCAGGCTAGTTGACCACCTGGAAAATAAACAGAGATGGTGGTAGTTCCCACTGCTACTAAATAGAACATATTTTGAACACGCCGCGCCCCGTTACTAGCCCAGCTTAAAAGGTCGTTGACAGCAAAGTTCGTTGTCTATCAATCTATCTATAAGCGTAAACGTATTTAATGTAAAGCGAACTATTTTGTACTATATGTAAGAATAAATAGTAAAACCTACCCATTCGCATAGTGTCAACGAGATGTATAATCTGGTCGCAATGCTTCCGCGCCGCAATCAAGCCGCGCAAAATCAGAATCTTGAAATAGGCGAACATGTCCGAATTTTCGCCGTCCATCACTTCGACGAATTCGTGCGTTAACTGTAATTTAATAAAAAAAAATAGACACTATAATAAACCGTTGGGATCTCGTTAAACACCCAATAAAAGTTGAAAAAAAAAAATATTTCTTGATATTTGTTACATTAGATTAAATAAAATATTTCAATGATATATAAAATTAATACCTTAAATGGTGAACTCTCGAATCCCAAATTTTTCGGCGAGATGGAGAAAATAAAGCCGAAATCTATATGAATTATGTGTCCTGCGCTGTCCAATAGAATATTTCCATTGTGTCTGAAAGAAAAATAATATTATCAGTAAAGGTTCTCTAAGTACATTTCAGAACTGCAATAGCGTCTCACTTGTTATGTTATGTTGTCTGAGTTGTATCAAATATTCTAAGCCATTCTATTTTATTGACTTTCTGTAAGTTTAAATTTTCCTTTACTTCCCCAGTTGATTAGTGTAAACATACAATTCCTTATTTTGAATATCAGGACGAACTACCCACCTGTCCTTGAGCTGAAGAAGGTAGCTGGTTAACGCATACGCAGCGGCGGAATGTACAAAGTTGCGTTGCGCGAGCAAAAACCCTTCGCTCGTCGCAGGCCCGTGTTCCAACTCGAGCCAAGCGCGTAGAGTTTTGCCCGACTGCTTTTTAATCTGGTGCAGCGATACAGAGTTCAGCACCTGAAGGCATCAAACATTTTATCAATATGAATTCGAACGCTTATATTCTTTCATGGTTCATACAAATGTTGCCTGGAATTACGACACGAAGAAGGGAGAAGTTACAATCCCGGGAAAAAAATTAATTTGTTGCGGTCGGGCAAGTCATAAAAGTTCAATCAAGGACATTTCTACTAATAATATCGATCGTGAAATAGTCACAGAAATATGTTCACAGGAGTCAGCGGTAATAAATGGGATTTATATATTATGATGTGTTTGTTATGTAAAATTAAGTAGAAAAATATTTCACTTCATTCCTTATCGAAGAATTTGCAGTCATAAATTGCCATTATTATAATCAAACAAAGATTAATGGATTAATAGTGTAAAGATTATTTTCTACTAATATTTTAGTGTTAATCTGGTAAATATTTGTGTCTAGGCTGAGTATAAGATAATAGTAAAACACCAAAAACGGCATACACGAACGAAATTAGCACTGAATCAACATACCGGCTGTATGAGTCCAGACTCCTTGTCAAGACAGATAATCTCGTAAGGTCGCAGAGTGAGCGGCACCCTTTCAAGGTCCCACACCGTTTGCAACCGCCGAAGCAGCTGGGCAGCTAACATCTCTTGCCGGAGATCGTCACCCACCTGAAATATTTTTCCAAGCAATTTTATGGGAAAAAGTGGAAATGGAAACTGAAAATCTGCACAATCTTACTAAGATGCACTGTCTTAACCAAGACAAGTGCCACGTTCCAGCATATCTTGAGCAAGAATCAATTTCTTAGTGCAAAAACTACATGTATTTACCTTAACAATGCAGCCGAGAAGCCTCCACCCAGATAAATATCCGTATGGCGATGACAATCGCATGCGGGCTAATTTGCTTTCCCAAGACTCCTGTAAAATAGATTTAGTAAAGTAGTTGAACATACGAACAACGTTTATACAAAAAAATATCTGTTTGATAAAGGTGATGTCACTATCTAGAAGTGTGAATGGGTACAAACTGCTTATAATTTAAATTGAAATATGAATATGTGCAATAACATGTGAAAAATATTTAAGATTCAAATGCTTATAATTTATTGAACATTGTCTGTCAAGCTGTTATATAAGTTGTTATGAGAAAGAAAATACGGCTCAAATCACATAATTAAACCAGGCTTTAACCAATCAGCGTGCGCGTTATGCCATGCCTATAATTTAACAAGTACATTTTTCGATAGGTTATTGAATAATACCGCCATAATTTGTAAGCAATTCATTAACGATGGTTTGTGTTAAGATTTATATATGACGGTCATATGTGGTGCTCTAAAGGACTTACCTTTAGTGCCACCGCTGACGGGTCGGCTGGGTCGTGTTTGAACGCGTTAGGTGGTGGAGCCGCGGTTGCTTCGGCCAACCTGCGTCGGACTTCGCCCGCGCCTACCGCCATCGACTCGCGGGAACCGCAGGATGATGTCGATTGAACCGAGGTAACAGACATCACGGACAGCTGAAAAGAAATGGCATTCATAAATTAATTAATCAAACCTAAAGCTCATTAGATGAATAATGAAAAAACTATTTCCTATTCGTATTTTACTGCAACAATTATTTAATCACATAAGCGGATAACACTTTTACCCCCTTATAGTCCACCCAGCCACCCCAAACAATATACTAACTATGGTAGTTAAAATAAAAAGCTCTAGCTTGCTAGTTTTAAATTCCAAATGAGAGCTGGTAGCTAGAACAGGCAGTAGATTTATCGTGGCATTAATTCTTAACAGATGCTGAGGCTAGATCTGATTTATGGTCAGGCCCCAGTAAATACATTTATTTACTTATTCGTTAATATATGGAAATAGTAATTAAGGAGGTGATTAACATGATGTATTATATTTTCCTAAAGACCAAGAATACATCATCAAAGTACCTGAGAAACACTATCGGGCGCCGGTGGCCTGGGTTGATACTGCGTGCTTAGCTCCTCATCATCATGGCTCCAACAGTCGCTGTTGTCGACGTCATCCATAGCCGAGTACATGGAGAGTGCTGGCCACTCCGGTACCAGGTTCTCTTCGCTCTTGGTGTGGCGAATGGGGGGCGAGTGTGGCGCGGGAGGGGCAGGAGGTAGCAAGCGAGGGGGCAAAGGCTCGTGACCCTCAGTTTCGAGTACTTCTACGTACATTATGTATGGAGCCTGATAATAAATATTATTGATCATTTTAGTCGTCAGTCACACTTTGGTTTTTATATAAGTCCGAAGTTCCACCGTGGAGTTTTAGTTGGTTTAAGTCAGATATAACCCATTTGCTCCTCCTTATGGTAAGGTAAATATTCGAAGCGGACTTCCCCTCGTAAAAATAGGTATTTCTATTTCTTTCTTACTTGCTACGTTGGTGTAACGACGCCACCGTGTTTTTTACAATGTAGGAATTATGATACACTATGCAACGTTTTTGTCAATACATTTACATGTTCTTAGAATTACAAACTTAAGACCTGTTAAAGCAATGTAAGGAAACGCTTTTACAACTGAGTAATGTATGTACATAGTGTAAAATGTGAAAATTAATTGATACTAAGTAAATGCCTAAGTTAATTGCAAATAGATAACCATTTAAATGTTATTTAGCCATTATAAAATAATTTTAGCCTGTTTTATCCATGTTATCATTTTACTTTTAAAAGTAACCTAATAGCGACAGACTCTCAATAACACTTCTAGCGATAGTATCAATGCAGATATTTTCAAAGCGCCAAGGTCGGTCGGTCGTTCTATATGTAACATTTTAGTTCAAGAAAAAGACATCCAAACCGAAATGTCGACGAAATACATGTTTTACACATTATATATTACGTAAGATTAGTGTTTCAAAAACACTGTAATTAAAAAGGTAATTTAGGGGCGAAAGTTAGTTTTTTTTAACTACATCACTTCTGTAAGTTAGTTGCAAAGTAAAAGGTCTGGGGTTCAAATATTGGGTGCATTTTCTGGCTGCATTTTCCAAGCGAATGAGTGACTTTCACCCACTTAAATGGATACAGCAAACAGAGCTGATAAGCTAATGTAAACTCTATATATACCTTATCCTTGCTGTTCAACACTGCAGCCGCGTGCGGCGGTATTCTGAGCACACAGTGGGGTTTCTTATGCAGTGGCAACCAGACCCTTGCTGGTAAGTTCAAGTCTAAGGTCGCCAGCTCGGCGCGAAGACGTCCATTTCTCCTCTCCTTGTCTGCCACACTCGCCAGACGTCGTCCAATATTCGTGAGGGCAGTGAGAAACTGGAAGGAAGGCAATCAAAATATTATAATAACGTCTGTGATTATTTTATGAAAGAAAAGGACAATATATAGTGGTATATATATTTTACTTTATGGTAGTTGAAATACCAGAGCCACAGAACGTTGAAACTAAATGCGCTATTGACTTATTTTGACTTTGAAAATTAGGAAATTCAGGATCGGAAACGTAACCACACCTTTTCTATCTGCGGAGGGTGTTTCAAGACATGGACAGAATAGCGATGTTCGTACTAATCTAGATCAAGTCCATGATTCATAAAAATTATTAGTTGATTCTTGAAACATTTAAGACTTGCTGGAAACTGAACAGACGACTTGTCGATTATTTATTCACTGGTCTGGTTCACACATTGCTCTCATAATTCATTAGTCAATCAACGGATGGCATATAAATTATTTTTCATGTTTATTGATTATTTTCCTACCCAACTATATGAAGCGCGAATTATAAAAAAAAACATTTTAGAATGTTTTTTAATTAAAAAGAGAATACATTAGGCTTGTCAGTTATTATGCAAACAATGTGATAGATGAAGCTAATAAACATATGAGAAAAGAATCAATTAATTGAGGCAGCTAGAAGCAGAGTGGCCTAATAACAAGAAACATGATTTCCAATAAGGAGAAAAATAAAAAGGCACAGGCGGGCAAATATTAATTCAACTATAATATTTTTTTTTTAAATTGTGTTAACAATTTTCAGTCACTGTGCACTTGTTGATTAACATTTTTAGACTATAAAAATATAAATAAGTCAAATAATAAAATTTGAGTTAGGTCACTGTGCCTCTGGCAGCCTCAATTCAGAAACAAATATCTGTGTTTACTGTTGTGATCAGGCATTACGTCATGTGTCTATTTGACTCGATGCGAATTCGTTTCCACGAATGTGAGGCAGTACACAATGTTTTGGCACCAGAGTGATAAGGAAATACGCGAAACGTGATTCTGTACCTCAGCACGGCAATGATAATCATAATTGCATAGTAACAGTGTTTGTAAATACGCTTCCGCCCGAGCTAAAGACAAGTGATTAGTCAAAATAACAATTTATTTTTATTTCATGGTACATGTTATTGTAAATATAAGTATGTGAAATTCCGCTTCCCCCTGGGCATGGGGCAAATACATATCTGTCTTCATTTCACTGATCGGTTTTTATTACCAGGCAAGCAGTTGATCGGACTTCTGTACCCTGCCCGATATAAACAATTTATTCTTTTCCCGGGATTCGAACGCAGGACCTCTCGCGCTTAAACGCAATGCTAAGCAGCACGTTTAACCGTTTGGTTTAAATTATAAGCAGAAGAATTTAGGTACTCTTGTTTATGAAACACATTCCCATACTGCGACAAAAAGCCGAGCCTCTTGGGCGAAAGCCGGGTATCCTCTGCAACGTTGTGAAAATATTCACTGTAGGGAATAAATATTTAAATCCATGTAGATTTTGAACTGCAAATAGTAAATATTTTTGTAAATGCTTTAGAAACTTATCTTAACATCAAAATTAAAAACTTTTATTTACGAGAAGCGTGTCTATATATGCTAATATTTAGCGATAATATATTATTTATCAAAATTAACTGACAATATCTTGAATCTCACAAAAAAACTTGACATCTTTTCTAAGCTACTAATTAATATATTTTCTCTTTTACATTTAGAGCATTATTATTGTGGTAGAGAAAAACGTGGACTTTTTCAGAAGTGGGGAGTTAACTTGTATCAATTGACATACATGCTTTATTGAGCACAATATGGTGATCAGCATTGGTTAGCTTGTTGCCTGGCTTAGCATGAGTCATGAGGTTTAATTCTGTGGACCTTACATGGTGTTATCTCGGATTTAGCGCCCGCAAATTAACTTATAGAATGCTTTACTTTTTTCTTCAAATGTTTGGAAATTATAAGTGTTTTGTGTTTTAATTGCAATGTAAAATTAAATGATTTTCACCGGTTTAAAATAAATGTGTTAGTAAATTTATTCACAATTTATTTAAACTACGGACCGACGCTTCGGATGCTTTGCAGCAACCGTTGTCGAGCGGTTATCCTCCAGAATATATTTGGCGTTTTAAACCGTTAAGTGTTTTATTTAAACGTGTAATACTAGCGCAAATTAAAGGGGTTTAGGTACTTAGGTTTCATTTTTACTTCCATTTTAATACCATTATTAAAGGAAAGGAAGAATAGTACATTCTCCACTTAGCTAATTACTAATCGTAATATGATCTGTTTACAATATCGCCGCTTGGTTTTCCGGGAAAATCTGCTATTTTAACTACAGTCAGGTGTTAAACCACTGTAGTTTAAAAGCCAAAACAGTTCAAAAAGTGTGAACAGTATTTAACTGGAAAAAATAATCAAAACCTCGCATCAAAATCTATGTATTTATTTATTTCGTATATCCTAGAATCCAAAGAGTTGTACGTTAAAACAGTGCAATGTATTTGCTCCTCACAATATTGAAACCCGTGGGAGGGTTAAACCAATTATCCTACATGTGGTATTAAGGTTAAATCTTCATTCATTGCTACAGAGATTAAGCGTATATGATTTGATAAGCAGACGAAACCAAGGTGAATACGCGGTGTAAGGCTAATGACGAGGAATAAAGTTGATTTTTCATTTGTAATGGAATATAAATACGTAAAATTGTAAAATAAGGGATTCTTGACACTACTATTGACTATTATTTATTTACTTTGAGAAATATTTTTTTGATTAATTTAATTTTGATTTTTCTTATAACTGTATTCTATTTATTTTCTTATTTGCGCGAGAGGTGTATGTATCATTAAGTTGAAAAAATTCGACGATGACGTGTGGGACTCAGTAGCTCAATTGGTTAGAGCAACAGCACGGAATGCTGTGCATTCTGGTTCAAGTCCCTGCCCAGAACATTTTTCAATTATACAAATTTTCTAGTTTTACTTATAGTAGAATAAACCGTCGATGCCCTTCTTCATTGATTAAAAACATTCACAACTTAACACAAAATAATAATTAATAATCTTGGTATTACTATAATGTGAGAAAATAAAAAAAAACACGATTTAAAAAAAAGCCGATGATAGTACGAGAACTAAAATAAGTTTAAACAAGAACTAAAACTTTTTTTTTGTTATTATAGTGTATATTCTCAGTTCGCATTCTGTGTATCTATAGACTAACAGTCCAGATGTAACTACGGAAATCTGAGAATCCTTAGTGAAAGTTCCTCGTGCAGACGACATACGTTTGTGAACAGTGTTTTGTTTCACTGCGCTCGTGACGTCACAATTCAGAACTCTAATTATAATGACTTAAGGCAGAGTAATTAGCGATGTTGGAATTGTAAAATAATACTGCCTTTGAGATCAATTCTTGGAGAATAATTTTCCGTAATAAAGATAAACTAACAGACAGACGAGACGTTTTTTCTTATCTACTAACCACTACTTTGATAGGATTAAAATATGTAATAATGTTATCTAACCACACTTTTAGATTTAATAAACAAATAACGCCGTTGACAATCGTAAATTAGTTGTACATTAACCGCCGTGGGTTCGAATTACGATGGTTGCAATAATATTTAATCATGTATTGTTATTTTGTTTCCTTTCAGAAAGGTTGCCTGGAAGAAATCGCCATTGGCGATAAGGCCAGGCTTTAAGGCTTCGCCTAACTCTTTAATGTAAATACTATTACTATATTTGTATTTGATTTGTTAATGTAATAAAGTGTTTTATTATTATTACTAGCTGTGCCCGCGACTTCGTCCGCGTGGAATAGTGACTTTGGGTAGAATACTACCTACTCCCACTCCTATTCCCAAAAAGCCAAAGAAGAAAGTTTCATTGTTCTAGCTTCAAAAACCACGAATTTCCATACAAACTTTCATCCCTTTTTTCGACCATATCAACCCTTTTTTGGCATTAAAAAGTAGCAAATGTCCTCTCTCAGGCTTTAAAATATCTGTGTACCAAATTTCATTTAAATTAATTTAGCAGTTTCGGAGTTAAAGCCAAGACACAAAGAGAGTTTCCTTTGCATTTATAATATTAGTATAGATTTATTTAAATAAACATTTATAAATGGTATGGATAACACGGTTTGATTTTGATCGGCATTTCTATTAATTTGTTAAATGTAAAAAAGTTGTTACAGCCACGCAACCACAAAAATTTGACCCCCGCCCCCGGGATTTTTTTTTTAATTTTTAATTTTTCCATAAATTTCCCCAAACTTTTTTCCCCCCCACTTTTTCCCCCCCCCGCGGTGGGGGAAAAAATTTTTTTGCTTTTTTTTTTTTCCCCCCCCCCCCCCCCCCCCAAAATCCCCCCCAATCCCCCCCCCCCCCCCCCCCCCCCTTCTCCTTTTTTCCCCCCCCCCACCAAAATCCCCCCCCAAAAAAAAAAAAAAAAAAAACACCCCCCCCCCCCCTTTTTTTTTCCCCCCCCCCCCCTCTTCACCAAAAATTTCCTTTATAATAATAGAGAAGAAAACCCCCCCCCCCCCCTTTCCCCTTCCCCCCCCCCCCCCCCCCCCCCCCCTTTTTTTTTTTTATATATAAATTTCCCCCCCCCCCCTTTTTTTTTTTTTTTTTTTTTTTTTTTTTTTTTTTTTCCCCCAATTTTTAGATATCTTGAACCGTTTTCGCAGCGTACGCATCCGAAACCTACAGAGATGAAGAATTTCCCCCGTTTTGTTCACATTTCTCGCTGTATCTTCGCTCCTATTAGTCACATCTCACAACGAAAAGAATTTTTCAATTCGAACTTGTATTTCCTGAGATTAGCGCGTTCAAACAAACAACAAACAAACTCTTCAGCTTTATATGTTAGTATATACTTCAGCAATATCATCTCTGTTTCACTTGAAGTAAGTTTCTAGAAGATTCCTAATAATAGCCATTCTTCCTGAATGTGGTAAAGTTATTGGCTTGTCCCATTTGCACATACTATAAACGGAAAGGTCTGCGATTCGTCATTTCAACGGAAGTCGATATTATGCATACATGAAACGCTTAGCTGGCATTTGCACTGTGATTAGTGCTTCATTGATATTATGAGATGTATGAGTAATCGAATAAGGTTCTATGCGCTGAACATTAATTATAATTTTACAAAAAATATTATACCTTTAAATAAAACACTGTATGTGTGGTTTAAAATGCTTAAACTTATTGGGAAATTATTTTAACTATGGCCCGACGTTTCTGATGCTTTGCAGCAGACGTGGCCACAGGGAGACCCCGTTTTAAACTGTTAAAGTGTTTTATTTAAACTTGTACTATTTGCGTAAACTACAGACACTATTCAATGTTATATGTAGCTAGTAAGAATAATTAATACTTTTCAAGTTGCGTTCTTATTATCACAATAAATTACGAAATTGCAATGTATGTACTTGTAAATTGGATTTTGAATTGTTTTCAAAACAAAAGGATATTTAAATTCTCTATTATTTTTATATACCTACGTTATTATTGTAACTGCTATTTAACTCTATTAAAAGTCTACAGAGACATTAATATAGTCCACTAATAATGAAGACATTTAAATTGATATTGACGTAAAACCAATTTATGAAAAATATCGCTCTTTGACTTAAGTTTTAATCGTATTTAATGTTTATAACGTAATGTAATGTAACGTTACATTTATCTACACTTCTCTTTTTTTTGTTTCCTATGTTCTTTTGTTAATGTGGAAAAGTATTATTTGATGAGCCGATCGCAAAAGTGAGGTAAAGTATTGATTCCTTTTACGGGAATTCCTGTAAGACTGGCGTCGTATTGCTAGTTTTCCAATAGGGAAACTACATGACTATTAACGACGTTTTTAAATAGAGTATCGGAAAATTGGATTTACCAACCGGGTTACTACAAAACTGTACTTTGTATTCTAATTTACCGACGATAGTAATTTGAGGACATCATTTTCTATTTATATAATTAATACTTAATGATAAAAATAGTAGCGATATTTGGGATTTTATACAAAGACCTTTTATCGTAACTTATCCTCGGGTTAATCTTTTCAACAGGTCTTTGTCTCGATAACATATAGTTGGAAATCTTTGCACGAATTCGGAGCAGGAAATAACATTCAATATGATTTAGGAAATTGGTTGCAAACAGTACAACTTTAGTGGGAATTACCATTAAATTATTTTACTTGGTTACATTCTCACACATACTTCCTCTTAACATAGTTGTGTAATGCTCAAAATTCTATCCTACGACGTTTCTATTAAGCTTATGCAATGATATCCGGGACCAATAACGTAGAGCTACAAGATAACGTTATCAACGTCGTCTACGTGATATAAAAACGTTAGATAACGGATGTTAACTAATCCATAATTTATTTAAATACGTTTTGTAAACAAATGTTTTGTGAGTCGGTATGTTGAATAAATAAAGGCATTCATTAATACATTATCGTAAGTTTGTTTATCTATTCCAATTATAATTAGTCTGATATATTAGTCATCAGCAGTTATTGGACGTAAATTTGTATTAATTAAAGCTATTCAGTGCGTTAATTCTAGGTAAAGAATTTATATTCGATTTATCAACACTGATGCTATTATGACGAGTAGTAATAATAATACTCGACTTGCCGAGTTATTCGACAACGATATCGAATAAGACGAATTTCGAATCTTAACTTTCGATACAAAGTAACCCCCTATCTTTGATCTAAGTAATTGCACTATTATCATAATAAATAACACGCTTACTAAATAAACATAAAAAAAGTAATTACCTGCGTTTGTGGAGCTAGTCGCGGCGCGCCGCACGAGCATTGCTCCCCGCAAAGACAGCCGTTGTCGAACGCCCGCCCCGACGCTAGATCCCCCAAATGCCTCCCGGACGGCGTGGCCAGCCGCAGAGCTGAGGCGTCGGACTGGGACCGGTGGTGGCCTCTCCTCGCCGCCGGTCTTATCTCCTCTGCGAGGATCGAATCCCTCAACTTGGTCGCTCTCGACCTCTTCACGTCGCCGCCGAACGCCGTCAGTAGCCACGCTAGCCGCAGCGAGAAGTCGGCGCTCTGTTTACACCGATACACTAAATACGGACGCAAAACTTCGGCGACCTCCCCCAGCTCTATGTACATGGTCGCCAATTGGGGCAGGTAAAAGTCGACGTCCTCGTGCGCGAAGGAGAATAGCTTGTTAGCCAGGTAGGTCTGCACGCCGGGCTCCTTCGAGTAGAAGAGGTACGAGATGGCCATGCTCATGTCGAAGAGTTTACTCTCGAAGAGGCGCAGCAGAAAGTCTTTGTTGTTGGCCGTATCGACCGCAGAGACGATCGCCGTCGCCGTCTCGACGGGCGCGTCGGGAGGGTCTGGCGGTTTTTCGGTGTCCTCTGGATTGCCGGAGTCGAGGCTCTCCCTCGATCTGGCCGCGGCGGGGGTGGGTCTCTCTTCGTCGTTCGCGTCCGGCGGAGTGTGGATCCCGGAGTCGTCGGACCCGGCGGGAATTTCCGGAGGGAGAGCGAGCCTGGGCGCGGGTGCGTCTCCCGGCAGGCGGAGCGGCGCGCCCTCCGGCGACGTCGGCGTCATGTCCTCCGGTATCCGTTGTAGAACAGAATCCAGGGATCTGTTTCTTTGGTGGCCGCATCCCGCCGGCGGCCCGTTACCGCCCGTCACATGCCTACGAACAAAATCAAAGTTATAACTCTCGCTAAGTAGGCACTATTACGTACACAGCTTTACGCGCAAGGATAATGGCCATATGTTTCCGGTATAAAATGCCATTCAATTGCACCTTTCAACATTTTGTTAAATACACCTCAACTTGGCACTAATTGAATAGGAAATAATTGTCTTTACGAAATAATCTTTCAAACAAATTGACAAACAAACTTCCCTATAAAATATGTAAACGGGAATAAAATACTCGTGTACCTATATTTATTATCGTAGCACTTATAGAACGGATCCTCATAGTGACGTATTCCGACGACAATTATCTTTTTAACCATTTGTGTTTCTATCGTTATCGCACGGCTGAAAATATCACTTTAATTATTTATCACATAGAACGCGCGCATGATAAAAGATCTCTAGGAACACTTGCACTGAAGTTTACGATCGTCGAGCGTCGTTCATAGCGCGAGTGAGCACGTCCAACTCGAGGGCGAGCGAACCGTATACTACTTTACGCAACCAAATAGGCACGCCGCGGCGCATACCAGCGAATAAGGATCACCTCGATTGCCGAAACGCGACCAAACAACACTAGGCATAATTACAAAGCATAACCAAACAATAGTCTATTAGTGCTACTGGACACTTTCTTTTTAGTTGCATTTTCGAGCGGCTATTGTAGAGTTAAACATTTTGTGGATTTCCTAAGATACAGCTACTTTTCAAAATTAATTTTCGTACCTGTATGTCTACCAAAACTATGCCGTCACGTTGTTATTGTGTTCGCGAAGCGTAACCATTTAATCCAACAGCTGTTTAAAATGTTGGGTTTTTTTTAAGATTCAGAAGCACTTAGAGTAATCGAAGATACTTTGAGTACTTTTTAATATACACATTCAAGGTTACAATTTCAAAATATTGAATTATTAAGGGCACCGACGGTAGGCCGGAACACAGCTGACCACTTCACCTAAAATCCATCGCACTTCTAAATACCCTTTGTTATATTTTTCCGCCCTTATCCACATTGCATATATCACATTACCGCTAGATGTATATTTTTCCGAGAGGCACATTTGTGCAAACGTACTCTACACAGCCTTGGACGGTCTTGCCTAATTTCAACGCGTTAATTTGTTAACCATATCACGTAGTGTTGTGTATTTTTTCTCGCAATTATAGGTTCTAGTTTAATATGAGGAGTCGATATAAGGCGATGCATTAGCATTCATCGTTTGAACTTGCAAATCCATAGACGGCCGGGCTACATTTATTTGCGGGGTGAATATTCAACGTAACGTTAAGTACAGTTAAGCGGAGGAACAATGGGTGATCACGTACGCTCATGTTATGATACATTCCTAATCGATTTAGATCTTAATAGACATCCATGACGTTTACTATAGTGTATTTTTATCTTCCATTGTCGCTTACATCCCATCCCCATGTTAATGAACAGATTATAATGTCAAACTAAAGAAATTTAAATCTCTCCATTTAAAATAAGTACACTTTTATTAATTTAGCATTAAGATGTGGCTTTTACATAGTGAATTTAAGCTAGTTACATTAAATTAATATATAATCCAGTGTCTCAAAGGGTTTTTAGTAAAAATCTATGTAAACCTTGTGAGAAAATCACGATTACGTGTAAAATGTGTGTTTGTTTACCACAAATGTCAGGTCAGAAAAAACACACAACATAAACTAAGATGTGCTATCGACCTATTTAGGCTTCAGACATTTGTATCTGGGACATTCCTGCAAAACCTCTCAATGCTCGACCGTCCGTACTAAGCCGAGACAGTGTTTACAGTCGCATCGCCATGACATAAGATTAAAGAAAGCATACAAACACGTCGGAGAAAGCGGGCGACGACCTCGAATATTAACACGGCTCAAGTACGCTATCAACAGATCGCTGGAAGTACGTTTCTTGACCCGATGACTTTTACGACCCGGGGGGAAGTATTTGGGGAGATGTGACGAGAGATTCCGTAGAAAGCGCACTCGGCGCTATCTGTAGTATTATTTTTAGCCCTATCTGGCCATATGTTAGAGGCACAGATGTGTTTGTCGACGGCGCTAGCTGTTTTAATTCAATTACGCGTAACTTTACAAGCGATCGACTAATCACTCGTAAAATATGTACGTCGAGTTAGAACGTGGATTAAAGTTTACCTAATCGAGTGAACGGTTCTAATTAATATGGCTTGTGTAACAGACGACGGTATAAATAATATCCTGCTCTACTACGTCAAACGGTATAATTATTTTGTCGTGTGCATTCACGTCAAGCTATAAACACTTAATTATATTAAAACAATTTTAAGCATGTGAAATGCTAACTATGGCCATGATTTTAGAAGCTTAAAATGTAAATGAATATAAGTAGAATTAACAATAATTTCACTATACATTTCAATAAAACACTTTACACTGTTTAGAACACGAAATATAATAGTTAACTTATGTTTAATTACGACTCCACGTTACGAATGTGGTTCAGTTGCCTTAGTACTTTTGTGATGTCGGCAACTGTTGAAGTAAAAATGTGCTTATAAATATAAGCTAGCAATTAAAAGCTATATATATTATAAAATATGCTAAATAATATATCTCACGTTTAAACTGTTAAACGTCTTTATAGTTTTTTTAAGTATACAAAAATAAACTTTTTATATCTTTCTTTCGAGATTTCTATTACAATAAGTTGTCACTTGATACAGTTCCTACAACAAGAACTTTCATCGTTGATTTCACGCCCTTCAAATAATATTCGATCCAAAAAATCGATAGACTTAAGGCGTGAAAGGTAATACAGACAGACGACAAAATGGTGTCATTCATTGTATTGTTTAAATATTTAAAGTTATTAAACGAGATTTGATGTATTGTTTAAGAAGAGCCAAAAACTAAAAAAATGTCCATGCACATGGACAGACAACACATGTTGTCTTTGTCCTACATATAGTTTCCCTATGACGAAATAAAACGTCTCTGTAACAGGCAACGCGTTAAGCATTTTTAATTTGACTAGTACAATATTTTTATATTTTAATGACAATAAGCTTTTAGCCAAAACGTGAGTCTCTGCAATAAAAACACTCGAATTCCCCGCAGAAACGATAACCTTGCGTGACACAGAATATTACTTCGCAAAATTTCAATTGCTCAAATAAATCCATATAGCTCGCGAGTATATATTTAAACGCAATTGAAGAATTGAAAATTACGAACGTACACAAAAAATAGTCTACGACAAAAACGCCACACATTTAGCAGTGTTCAATGACGGTACTTTGAAGAAACAGAAAAACAATGGACTTTAACTTGAAATGTGAATTGAATACAATGCGACATTCGGGGAATTGGTTCGCTAACTATAACAGATGGTATTTGATTTCAATGATATTATTTACGCATTGTAAAGGGAATACAATTGGTTCTATACATATGAGTTATGATACGTGAAAGATTGATCTAAAATGTACTAAACTAACTGAAATTGTATATTTATCGCAGCATCAAATTGACACAACTGTTTATTTATACTAATATATAAGCTGAAGAGTTTGTTTGTTTGCTTGAACGCGCTAATCTCAAGTTCGAATTGAAAAATTATTTTTGTGACGGTTAGAACACTTATCAAGAAAGGCTATAATATAAAACATTTGCAATAATGTGGTTACTACTAGAAACATACATATACATCAACATACTTAATACCATTATCACTTTCAGTAATATATCTGGACGAGCTTGACAAGATAATATGAAAAAGTCTTAAATCGAACACAGACGGTACATTAGTACAGTTGCTTTCTGAGATAAATAAATCTGCTTGGTTTTCAATTGGTAAAACATACGTAGAGCATTAATCCTTAAATAGCAGACTCACGCTGGATGTCTAGAATTTTTTTGCTCTGAACTCATATAATATACATAAACGTATGTATTATGCGCACGTAGTCACAGCGTGATCACTTTTAATTATTCTGTGTATATCAAGAGCAAATTAATTTTATTGGTGTGGATTTATTACTTTCTGAATAACGAAGTGACATAAAACGTACCTAATGCCAAATTTTACAGTGTTTTGTGTAATATATCTTTATTCGGAAGTAAAGTAAACTAAAGTACTGTAGTTTACGCGAGTCCTATACATTAAAATAAAACGCGATATATGTTAGTTGAACTTATTTGAAAATTTTTGAAGCGTCGGGCTGTAGTAAAAAGAACTTTTACTACTATATAGCGCGTTTAAAAGCGCTAAAGTGTTTTATTTAAATAAAGCAAACTAATTAAATAAACTAACTAAATAAATAAATAGACTATAAGTGGTAAAACGCCTATTCTATAACATTAAAGCAGTTAGTCAAGTGGTAAAATATGCAAATGTTTGGCTTATTTTATCCGAGCCAGAACGCCGAAACACTAATGAGGTCTCGGGGGGAGATGAAGAACTGTTGCCACGCTCTTTTCCCGTCTCTAAGGAGTCTAGACGTAATTCGTGGAACATTTGAGCAAATACAACTAGTTATACACGATCGCAAGACGGGTCCGACGTATTGTCTGACGTCAATAATGAAACAATGGACTGTTTAATTGAATCCGAACGTTGTTGCTACAGCTTTCCACGTAAAGAAAAATACAATGTTGAAAATTTCTCATGCATTAGAAATGATAAGTTCGGAGTGAAAGTGGGGCAGAGTATCTGCGAGCACTCATATGGAAGTGAGGCGGAATGCGAAATTTGTAACTTTTAAAAATAACAATTAATTAATAATTCTAATTCTACCATTGCATAGTTTAATTCATTTTTCCCACTTCTTACCATACGGTCATCAAATTTTATCACTCCCTACGTTCGCTGCACTTATCGCCACGAGCTAAACACGTGTCTTGAGACACTACATAATTTTATGTAAACAAACAAGAATTTAAATTAAACACATTACGGTTTAAAACGCGATAAATATTAGTTAAACTTATTTGAAAATGATTCTAACTACGGCCCGACGTTTCAGATGCTTTGATACAGCCGTGCTCACGGGGAGACTGACTAATATATATATCACGTTTTGAACCGTTAAGTGTTTTAATTAAATGTGTACTACTCGCGTAATCTACAGACAGTATTTAACAAACAGGAATGTAAACACTAAGTAAATTATTTAAGATTTGATTGTTTTATCAGATATACAAAGCTCGCGTAAGCATTTTACAATCATTTGTAAAACTCTTACCATGTGCGTGATGTACATGAAACAGAAAGTGACAACAGCGTCGCGAAATTATTTTAACTTCATGGTGTCTTCACAAATTGTTACTCAACTTAAGATTTGATTAAACTGTGATAATAGTATTAACTCTATTCTTCTCTTATTAAAAAAGGCTTGCATAACTAGAACCATGCTCACAGTGCTTTCGAATTTCGCACGTTCAAATCGATTTATCATCTTCATAACAGAGCTACCTGACTAAATAATCAGAGTAAGACGATATTAAATTGCGCAATGAAAAGAAATAAGCGGAGTTTT